TGTGTGTGTATGAAGTAAGCTTGAGTCAGTTATTTACATACAAATATTCACGATATTTCTATGCCCGTGCGCTTCATACAGGTCAACAGAAAAAGTGTTTTCAATAACGTGGAGTGTAAATATTCTTCAAGGAAAGAATAAAAAAAAAATCCATCTTTTTAAGAGGCGCATAAAAGAAGTGTTTAGTGAAAGCAGACTTCAGGTGACCTCACTGTCTCTTCCAATCACCCCGGGCAAATGGGAGTACATCCCCCTATAGGAAAAGCTGTTCATTGACAAGTGGAAAGATGTGTTTTTGTTTTGGGGGAGCGGGGGTGCGTGTGGGGGTGCAGTGCAAACAGTGGCCTCTCGTCAACAAACCAGCAAACAACCACAAGCAGAAGGGCAAAGAAAGTAAAGTGAAGGGAGCCTTTTGAAAGCAAACTCCAAAAAGTTGGAGACGTCGTTGGTACTCCTGTCCATTGCTTTTGAAGACGAGAGGAGGAAACGAGTAAATAATAAAATAACCATAATACCAAAAAAAAAAGCACGCTGAGCAGATGCATTATTAATATTAAGACTGATGCGTTTTGGTCTTGCAGGAGGTTTTCAGCTTCGCTGGCAGACATGCATGCTCTGATGTTCCTTTGCTTGCCTTTTTTAATTGCGCCTGCCGATGAAAATGGGCACCGTCGTCTGCGTACTTGCTCAAAAAGGAAAACGCGTGCCACCGGTTTGTCAGTCAGCCCCACTTTGCCTTTTCCACAAGTCTAGAAAGCTCTCACAAACACACACACATTAGCCACCGAATGTGTGATTCAAATCGAATGGGTTAGTCAGTGGCTGCAAAACACCAAAATCAAAGTCCAACATCATGAAAATTTCCATATGATCAAAATAGTCAACCGGGTGCACTTTTTAGCACTTTATATTGATCATGTAGACTTTGGTTAAAGGTTTAGGATGCGCATTAGCTCCTCCACACTGCATGAAATCGCTGTCTGCTTGAACTGCTGCTTATTCGTTTCAACTTTTGACACCTCCGATCATACAAATGCAACACGAAAGGTTACGTTTACTTACGCTCCCGACTTGATGTTTGTCGTGCTTGAGCGGGGAAGTGCAACTTTTAATGTGTTTAGGTGGCACGCTTTTGAATCGAGCGTACGAGCAAGTTCCGGACCAAGCGTCACGTACGTCCACTTGAGTTCGTATACGGTACTTGAAACACTTGAAAAGTTGCGTTTAATGTAAACAGGACAGCAATCATGGCAGCAAGTCGTCCTTGAGCTTCTCTGGAAAATGTTGCGCCTGAAGAGGACCAGTCACTCGTGACCTCCTAATATGTCAAGTCATCATCGCAGTGCCGCCAAAACTCAACAAACTTTGGACTTTTGGTCAAAACAGAAAAGCACACCTCACAAATGAGTATTATTATCCTTTTAACATGGTATCAACTGTTATTGAACCTTTTTTTTCTTCCTGCGGCAGCAAAACAATTCCATGGTAAAGCAACACACTGAGCAAAACTATTGAATAAATGTTGCTTTGTGGAAAAAAAAAATGAAATCGAGTTGTTCAAGTGATGTGTCCTGTCATGCTCATCTCCTTTTGCGTTCTCATGAAGGCACCCCTCTTCAAAATGACCAATGGGGGGGGCGTGAATCGGTCAAAGACGGACCCCCCCAATGATGGCTGATGGCTGCACCTGCGTGGCCTCAAGATGGAAAAAAAAAACAGCTCGAGCACATTGATGCGCAAGTGTGGTGTAACCTCCCCATCTATCCGTCAAGAGGAGAAGGAGGAAGAAGAGCTCCCAAGGTGCTTTGCTGGCTCCATTGTGCTGCCGGCCTGTCATCTTAAATTAGGGACCACAGGCTCGGCCGGTGTGAGTAAAAAAAAAAAAAAAAAAAAAAAAAGGGAAAAAAAATCAATACTTGATGGGAGATTGCTCCCTGGAAAATCTGTTTTGATTCTGAGGATTAATTCTGGGGCAAAATGATGCGCCATTAGGCACCGAAAATGAACACGCTGGGAAATTGGAGGGAAATGCAGCAGTCGGGGAAATAAGTTTGGGAGCTTTTGGGGGGGGGGTCGATGGTTGTTTGAGGGAAGGCGGGCATTTGAGATTTTTTATGTACGCCCCTCATGGTACGTGGGCTCCCTCTAGTGGCGTACAAAACAATCACTGAATGAAATGTTCCAACTGGATGTTACAGTGGCTTGCGTCAACATTTTTTTTCAAACCAGTATCGTACATTTTGTTCAGTTCGTTTTAGTTGTATTTAACTTCTAAGTACAAAACAGTCACATCTTTGAAATGGGTTGGTTTTCAAACATTTATTTAGATACAATTTTTAGTTACAATCGTATACAATACACCTGTATTTATATCGCGCTTTCACAACAGCTGCAGCTGTAACAAAGCGTAATAGAACATTTAACATAAAATAACAAAAATACTATAGAACTTTAAAATATACTTTTTTTTAAAGAAAAAAAACAAGTGTTCATTTTGGATGGACACTCAAAAGCCTACTACACTACTATATTGTACTTATACTTTGACAGAAGAATTCTTTGAGGTGCTACTTAGTGTAAAAACATCAACAACAACAACCACTGCTCTAATGCATCCCGCTGTTTTTTTTTATTCCACACCAGGTTGAAATGCATAATTGATGCCTCACAATAATGCGTTTGATGGTCGTCGCGTGTTGAGAAGTGAAAACGGGAAGCTGTAAAGATGCAACGGACGGCGATAAATTCACCAGTAGCTCGTGTTTGATGGCCGTAATAACATCAACAACAACATTTGACTCGGAATAGAAGACGACAGCCGGGTTTTCATCACATTTCACCCACAAAAATGATAAATTATGCTGACTTTCGAGTATATGTAGGATTTTGCAGAACCCTCACACAGTCACACAGTCATACATACATACACACATACATTCATACATGATTGTCAGGATTCTTCTTCTACTTTCTTTTTCTTCATGTCACCTTGGGTAGGGGCTCCGTACAATTGAATGAAATAAACGGGAGTGTGAGTGCAGGGTGTTGACATAAATCACCACACGAGGAAGCCTTGTCGGGTTGAGGACGGACAGAGTCGACCTTAGCCGCCCCCTTGAACCAACCGGGTCTGGCTGGAGAGACCACCAGCCACGGACTAGTTTAATGGGAAACTCTGGCGCCACCTACAGGATTTATCTGTTTTACAACTCGAGTCTTTTGTGAGTAACTAGCTGCGTTGGCGCAATTTGCCCTGCAGGTGACGATGCTGCCAAATTGGAGCTGGCGACTTTGCCGTCGAAGAAGAAGCCGCTTCCGGTCTGACGTCACAACGCCATAGCCCCAATACGGTGCTGGTTTGCGTTTCTTCTGTCCACCTGGAAGCAATGTCGTGGCTGAAAGCGACGTCAAACGGGACCGACGACGTTTTTGAGGAGATCGCGGACGAACTTGACATTTCAGCCAAAGAATGGGCACTCAACATGAAGAGAAGAATTCGCGTAAGAGTATTTTTTTCCTTCACTTTCCTGACTCTTGATGTGTTGGTGTCGCTAACCGGAGGATCTATCACGATCTCGAGACCATCACAGATTCATCTGTTGACATTCTCAGAGTCGCTGTGGAAATGTACAATTTTAAAGTTGCATATAATACGTAGCGTAGCCCTGCTATTGTTCATTCATATACTTTGATTAATATTTTTCCATGTCAAAATGACCGTCAGGACGGTTATGTGGACGGCGCTGACGCCGGCGAGGACGCGGCGCTGGAAGTGGGCTTTAAGGAGGGCTTCCAAGAGGGAGCGGCCAAGACTCTGGCCGTTGGACGACTTCGAGGGATTGTATGGTACAGCCATATAGTCTTTTGCCTCTCAGAAAAATGGCTATTGCAGCATCAATGAAAGTAGTTGTACAAATAATCTTATGGTAGTCACTTGTGGCTGCATCACTGTTGTGTACTGCCTCCTGGTGGCCAAGGTGGGCAGACCAGCGGGAGCGGCACCATGAATTGGTTTGCAGGATTTGGGGGTGGGTAGGGGCGACTGGAATACATTAATAGCATTTCCATTCAATTCAGTGGGCAAGATAAGAAAGATCTGTCCATTTGACCAACGTTTTCCTTAAAATTGTTTTTCTCTTTTATTATATTTTTCGCTCCCTTCAAGCGCAATTGGGAGCTGGTACCAGGTGGAGCATCGCGGCCTGCCCTTCCCTGCCTCAGTCACGGATCTCCTCCAGCGCGTTTCGAAGCACGAGGATTCCATCGTAGCGGAAATCATGACGGCCATGGAGAAGCGGTTCCCTCCCAGCGCGAACGACGTCGCCGAGAGCCTGGAGGACCTCGAGATAGCACCGTTGAAGAACTGCCCAGAAAGCGACTGTTGCATGGACACAGATTGTCCTCCACATGGTCACACGTTACATTCAGTGGGCAGCGACAGTGACACTCGGTCATCGTCTTGCGCCCATGGAACAATTTTCAGCCAGCTGGTGCAGAGCTGCAGGGACATTGTGGCAGAGCTCGGGCTGCCTCCTGGGTTGTTGGAGCACATCAATGAGCTTGAAGATATTGAACTGACATCTTCTTCATACTGACAATGAAATATTGGGACATGGAGACAGTTGTCCTCTTTGGGGCTCTTTCCACCACCACAATGGCTTTGAAAGGCAACCATGACGAGCTGCACACTTTGGACTTGAATTTGAGAAGATTGATTGACATCCAAAAAAGGTGAGATCCACTGTAGGTAGGACAACAGATTGTGTACGGGTGGTGTCACATGGAGACCGAAATAATAACAATCATTTTAAAAACAAATGCAATGAATTCACTTAAGATTTCATCAGTTGTTTTAAAGTAAAAATAATTTTATTTTTTTACTAATTAGAATATAATTAAGATGTTTTTTTACTGTTTAAACGAATGAAATCTTCATTAAGCACATGGGGAAATCCTTTTCGGATCTCCAATTCCACATAATTTATGTATTTAAAATGATTTGGATGGTTTTGTCAGATTTATTATGACCTACTTTCTCAAAATCGTTGTTTGTGTAATACATGTAGTTAAAAATGCAAGTCAAATTCACTTGCGTTTCTTTAAATGTTCTTGAATGTGTTGAAATGAATAAACTGTTATTCATTGCACTGAAGAAAATACTTTTTAGAAGGCCAATTCTTTACTTAATTTCTGTATTAAAGATATTTTTTTCTTGGATAAAATCTGATGCATTATTTTATTATTATTACTATTATTATTGCTATGATTGTTATTATATTTTGTAATATCAGTTAAATTGTACTGCAATATCCATGGGGCCGATGAACGCAACAACGCTCGCTGCGTTCCGCGATGACGTCAGCGCGTCAAGCTGGAGGCGTGACCCTCTATAACCCCGCCCCAGCGGTTGTTCCGCTTTCTCTCTCCGGCACCAGCCCCCCATACCACACGCCCACCACCTTTTTTTAAATTTTAATTTCTTTTTTATACACTGTATATCACAAACAACATAATGTCCCACTCGCGTGAGTACAAAGGAGCTCCAGCGCGGCGCTGGAGTTCCTAAAGCAGCCGCGTCGAGAGGACCGGGCGGGCGTGTTGATTTGTGTGCTGGAAGTTTCCCAATGAGCTAGCACTAGCCGGCTAGTTAGCTTCACTTGGGCGAAGCAAAAGCCAAAGCAGCAGCAGCTGCGTTTCATGCTACCTGTCAACCTTGGACGCTTTCTACAGTCTTCTCAGGTCGTCCTTTGTCCGTCCCTTTAAACGTGTTCCTTTGATGATTTTGTGTGGGTTCTTGTTAGCGCAACAGTGGAACGTGTTGTTGCGCATTGTGACGCCACTCGTGTGTGGAAGCAGATCTTGGCATCATCTGTGATGTCGAATGTGTGTCATAAGTGTAGACAAGGGAGTCAACATTTTTTTAAAATACTACATAACACTGCGAGCACTCACTTGACCAAAACACTGGCTACAGTATGGAAGTATCGATGTCTTCAGATTCTCAATCGAAATTATTAGCGCTGAATGTTAACTAACTATCGAAGTATTCAACCGTACACTCTCCCTCTTAAAAAAATGCAACATTCAAAAGCTATTTCAGTAGCAAAACGTCACTTCCAAAAGCCAGGCCAGAGCAATCGATGGAGCAGTCATCCAACCTCAGCCAACCAATTGAGCTTAACCTGATTGGCTGGCGATGGACCTGCAAGTGACGCTATGCTGCTCAATTTGGAGCAAAATAAGATTCAGGGTTAGTCACTCAGTTTCGTGGTGGTCAGGGAATGAATTCAACGCAGTGAGTCAAAGCGCCACTGTAAGAATGAGGTTTTTTTTTTTTCCTCAACCAGTTCTGTACATATGTTTGTATTAATCAGAAAGTAGGTTCCCGGCCACCGCTGACCTTAAAACACACACAAAAGAAATGATGGAATGGGGTTTTGGTTGAGGAAAATGTTTATGGTTGTGTCATCTACACTGCATCACGCTGATACATGAGTATTTATTCTCCTGAAAAGTGTTTGCCATTTTTCCGTCGTGATGAAGGGGCAACCATTTTGTTCCAGCTTTTGTCCACTAACTCTTCATATTGTTTTTTCAGGCATGAGCGTCCTGGTCCAGCCGCATTCCTAGGACCCGAGGTGACGCTGTCAGGCCCCGCACTTGTGTTGACGGGAGCACTCCAATGGGGGGCTGCTGCTTTCGTCCTCAGCGTCCCTCTGGCAGTGCAGAGGAGCGAAGCGGTTTGCTAAAAGATGACACCAAGGCCGCTTCGCCCACGGGCTACTTGGCAGGAACGGTCGGGGGTACGTGTGGCCCGCAAGGAGACAACAACATAAGGTGAGACTTGAGCAAGCAGGACACTATAATCAATCAACGAATCAATACAAAACAATGGTGATTGAAATGTCCCCACTAAGGGCGGCAGGGTGGTCGACTGGTCAGCCCATACATGTTGCATCATGTAGTATTTTTGTGTCACCCAGGAAGATGACTGACACGGTGCCGTTAAAAGTGGAGGACACCGATGACGTGCAGTTGAAGCTTCCCAAATCAGATGTGTCTGAGTATATGGTTGCGCAGGAAAATGGATCCTTACTGGAGGAAGCAGCGCACGTGTCCGACAAAGCCGCACTCGATCACGGCACCACCACAGAAGAAAGTCTGGAGACTTTTCTGGACAAGAGCGGCTCATCTGTCCTCCCACAGGAAGTGGACTCCCAATGGGAATATGGTGACCGGTGTTCGGCCTCATCCGTTCAGGTTGGAAACCAAGATGGCAGCCCGCAAGAAGCGCAAATGTACGCAGACGTGTCTGATGTTTGCCGCCACGATGACGAGGGCGACGTGAGCTCTAAAGTTGCAAATGGCTGCACGATGGTGACGGAGCTTTGTTGGAACGAAGACGACGTGCCATCTTCAGCCCACACTCAGGAGGCAACCATGACCACAACGTGTCAGGAGAACATGTCCGAGCCCAACTGGTGAGTCACGCGACGCACGATGTGTTCTGTAGAATGGATGAATTCCACAAGATAATGTTGTTCGTCGTGTCTTGTCTGGTGTTTGCAGTCTTTAACATAGTACCCCTTGTGTGGAGACGGAGACCCCACATAATTGAAATGCCTTGTTGTTGAAAATGGTTTACGTTTGAAAAATCTGTTTCTGACAAAAATGCAAAGAAAAATCACAAGTGTGCATATCTGTACATTTTATTGAAAAATAAAACTGTAATGTGCTGAAAAAGTTTATCTTAAATTTGACTGTATCGCTTTCAAATGCCATCAGGTCAGTTTGTACTTTGCTGTGTTCATGTAGAATCATATTGCCCCATTTAAAAAAAAAAAAGTGAAGTTGTGATTTTTGTTTTCCCTCTGCGTGTAGCTTAGTGAATGAGGGCTCGGAAGATGGCGAGTGTTCAGCGTTGATGTCTGGCCAGGACGAAAAAGGCCACGATGCATGTGCGCAGCCCACAGAAGCAAAGCTGGGCGGTGAGGAGGAGAAACGCCCTGAAACACACTTTAACGATGTGGAGACGCTGACGGCCACGCCTGAAGTCACCAGCAGGTCAGCGGGTTGCAACTGCTTCCAAAACAACACACAGTACAGGACTCCTTGTGTTGTTTTGCGGTACTTCTCCTCGCGTCCACAAGGAGGCGTATGCGCACCAATGGCCTTTACCCATGATTGATGAGCACAGATTATAGCCTGCAGTTAAAAAAAAAAAAAAACGTTTGCTTTCTGCAGCCTGCATGGAACGAAGGAAAACCAGCAGGAAAACATCGTCCAGCATGTTGCAGATGATCAAGACGGGGTCTGCCCCGCAGCGACAGAGGATGACAAGAAAGTGGAAACGATGGAGGGCGGGGAGGCTGAGGAGCTATCTGAAGAAACTGCACAAGTGCTTCAAGAAGTCAGACCCGCTGAAGGCAGTTTGAGGAGCAGGTGCACTTCTAGAAGTTTATGTTCCCCTTACGTGGTCCTCGAGGACCGGTGTTGCTGACCCCTGGTATACTGTGTTACCTTTCAAAACAAAGAGAGCATTTTGACTTGTGGACGCAGAAGTTCATATGGAGTGTGCACTGAGGCACCCCTTGCAGCTCTGCTTACCTAACGTAAAGCCCCCCTGGCTAACTTTCCGTAATGTCTTACGTCCTAAAGCGGTTTCATGTTTTTTTTTTTTTCTTCCCAGTGATGAAGATCTGTACAGAGGAGAAGAGGAGTCTCCCAATGATGCACAAGCGGCGCCGTTAGAGAGCAGCCCACGTGAGCTCATCCGTGGATCTCGCTCCGAATCAGTCGTGCAAGTGCTGAGTGAAAGCATGCATTCTAAATCAATTGAGGTCTTGCTCTAACAAAGACACATAGCCCCCCCCCCCCCCGCCCCAACGTTTCATTCCGATGAGTCTTTGCACACAGCAGTCCGTCACGAAAAAATTGTGAATTGGATCCAATGCAAGTTCAACTACGCTCAAGTGCCTACGCAGAAACAATCCCGGTCGATTTGCAACAAGTCTTAACAACAAAGAAAAGACATCTCTTGTAAATCGCGGGAGCCCTCCAGGTCTCAAGCAGCTTGGACTGAATTCTGTTGAAGATCAATACTGTTTGTATTCTACCCCAGCGAGGGAAGTTACACCGTTTGAAAAAAAAAAATTGCTTGCTTGCCAGTTGCAACGAGTAGGTCACAAAAGATTTCGGAACATGTAGCATGCAACTCGGCTCGTGTTGTCGTTGCAGTCCACTGGTGCGTGTCAGACACCACAAGCTATGATTATGCCTTAGAGCAGACATAACGTTGTTCCTCATGTGCTCCACAGTGGAGGCCAGATGCAGTTTGGGCCCGGCGGTGGACATTTTGTCTTATAGCGAGCGAGAATGGAGAGGCAACACGGCCAAAAGTGCTCTCATTAGGAAGGTGGCTTGACTCTCTGTCTGCAGACTGCTGTTATTAGAAATATATTTAAAACGTAGACATTTAAAAAAATATTAAACCATGTTTAATCAATCTTATCCAAAGAAACTAATGAATGAATACATCTGTTGTGAAATTATTTGGTAATAAAATTTGATAGCTCCTAAACTCAATCAACATGATTTTAAGTCCTTGCTCGAAATAGTGGCAATGTTTTGAAAGCAATAGATTTAACCAAATGCAACGTGTCAATGTGTGTCTGCTTGTCTGGTTGTGATTTAGTTGTCGCTGACTCACTCTGTCCGTCCTGCAGGGTTACAAGGAGCTGTCGCAGCGCTTTGCGAGTGTGCGTCAAGTGCGGGGGGACAACTACTGCGCCCTGCGTGCCACCTTGTTTCAGGTGCTCTCTCAGGCTTCTCAGGTGCCCGTGTGGCTTCAGGAGGAGGAGGAATATGATGATGATGAGGACGAAGACGACGTGGCCGCGGTAACCCTCCACCTCCATCGTCCGGTTAAACACGGCCAAACATTATTGAGCATTAACCGCTCACCGTTAAACTTTCACACTTCTTTAAATCCTTTGTCATTCTCGGGACACATTAACTCTCACTTGTTTGTTTTGCCCCCCTCCTCCCAATAGCTTCTAGATGTCTAGCCTGGCTACATCACAAAAGAAGGTCAAAAGTAAGGGCTTGCCTTTTCTTGATTCTTTCGCAGGATCTGTCCGAGCTGATGGGTCAGTGGACGTTTCCAGGCGAGGATGAAGCGCAGCCGGATGCTACTGTGCGGCTTCAAAGCTCCTTGGAGATCCTCCGAAACAAGGTTCACGAGCGCCAAAGAATTTTCTCTTACCTGCATGGCCGTTGGTTCATCTGTTAGCTAGATGATGCAAATGTAACTTCACCAATTCCATTTGGTACATTGTGGAGGCTCGCGGCCCGGGCAAAGGGAGAATACGTGAAATTTCCATCCAGATCTGGTTCAAGGAGGCCTAGGCGCATTTAAAATGATAATAAGACTGTGACTTGGGTTTCTAATCAAGTCCCGTCTTCCCGGCCGTCCACAGTGGCACGCGGCGGCGCGCTGCCCGTCGGCCGCCGAGCGCCTCCTGCTGTGTGACGCCGCTTTTCGAGGGGGTGAGGAGGAGGCGGCCATGCTGGAGGCGCTCAAACTACTGATGCTGCGCCGCGCCGTCCGGCTGCACGCCGGCATGCGCGGCGGCCGCGACGTGCCGCTCTTCTGCTGGCTGCTGTTTGCGCGCGACTCCTCCGACTGCCCGCGTGCCTTCCTCGCCAACCACCTGAGCCGCGTGGGCGTCAGTGCCGGACTGGAGCAGGTGAGCATCACGACAAGAGCGTTCAAGAACAATAGCGAAAAATGTGTAATTAGGGAAATGTTAGTCTTTTTTTTTTTTTTTTTTTAAATCTAAATTGTCTTTGTGTTCGTCAGGTGGAGATGTGCCTGCTGGGCGACGCCTTGCACTGCACCCTGCAAGTGTACCGCCTGTACATGGCCGACACCGAGGAATTTGTGGCCTACTACCCTGCCGAGCACAAGGACCAATGGCCCCACGTCAGTCTCATCACCGAGGACGACCGGCACTACAACGTGCCCGTTGCCAACCTGGACCAAGAGGACAATAGGGAAATGGAAGAGGAGGAAGTGACGGCGGCAGCGGTCAGCTGAGAAGTTCTCCTTCCACGCAAACCCCCCAAAAACCTCAGGTCCGTCTCCATTTTTTTTTTTCCTTACCTACACTGGACGCGTCGGTCTCCTTAGGGTGACCTCATTAATTTATTATTTTCGTTTGGACTGCTGTCAAAGAAGAAAATCAGGTGTTCGCGTCGCATGAGCGCGGGAGTTTTCATTTTTGTTTTTTTGTTTTTTTTTTTTGCAAGTATTGCGCATATAACGCGTTGCCTTTTGCAAAGCCAGAGAGGAGGAGCGCAAGCCACAAGCCGTCAAAGGCCCCCGTGCTCCTCCCTGTTGCCTTACAACAAAAAATGCACAAGAGTGAATGAACGTGGCCTCTCGCTCATCAATAAAACGAAAGCACAAGAATCACTTGGCTTCCACCCGCCACTTCCTTCACAAGTGGACCAACTGAGGTGAAAACAAGTCTTACAGTATTTGCTATATTTACGGATTTGCTCATGGGAGTGGCAAAACATGAAGTACACTTAACTTAAAAAAAAAAAAAAAGCTCAGAATATTGTTCAGCTCGACCTGTCGACAACACTAACAATTGTGCACATTTGAACCGGCAGTACTAACATGATCACGGCTTATCAGCAAATGGCGGGAACTCGCCTTTAAACCTCCATCTGAAAACATGAGACGATAATAATAATAATAAAGCAATGTATTTGCCAAATAAGAATGTCTGTACAGTATATACAGTACATGAAGATGATGATGATGATGATTGGCCAAACATAAGCAGGTCTTGGAAGTGAATGCATGGTGATGATGATGATGATGATGAAGGAGAGGGATTCCCGACCCCTCGGTTCTGTCCAATATCCACTGTAGAAAACGATGGTCTGTACAGTCACTTTTGATGTCAAAACACAATTGCACAACCCAGCAAAAAGTCCCACGACTTGTGCGGATTTCAAATGTTGAAGCACGTTGCCTTTGTCCCCTTGCCGTCGTCTCATTTGTCATTCCTTTGTTTACCGGTAAACACCAAGGAAGCCATGACGCTATGTACACTCGTTGGATCAACGCTCCGATGGCTTTGTTTACAGTGCGCGTCGTCACGGAGATGGGGAGGGCGCCGTTGGGAGAATTCCTCCTTTCTCCCTCGTCTTCCCCCCCGCGGGAAGAAAAATAAAAACAAACAAAAACAAAAATAAACTTCGGAGAAAAAAACGTCCTCGGACTCACTCTCGCCCTTCGTCGTCCTCGTTGCCCTCGCCGAGCTCCTCGGCGCCGTCTGTCGGCGATCGCGAGCGCACCTCGCTCATGGGGGCCGAGTCCTCGGCCTCCACCACCAGCTCGTTGGACAGCTCGCTGTGACGCTGGTCACAACGCAAACAACGTCAGTTAGCGGGTTTCGGGGGGGGGGGGGGGGGGGTGTGAGACA